ACTGCTCACGTCCCCTCATCCAGGTCTTTCTAATCTTGGCACAGCTGACACTGGGCCCAGGAACACTGGCTATGGTCGGCTGACCTGTGCATGGACGGTGTGGAGCAGCCTGGCCTACACTGGGCTCTGGAACACTGGCTATGGTCAGCTGACCTGTGCACCGAGGGGGTGGAGCAGCCTGGCCTCCACCACTCGTTGTGAGAAGCATCTCCCCCACACACACTATCCCTGTGGAATGATGACAAGTGTCCCCAGGAGCAGAGTCCCCTTCAAGTGAGAGCCTCTGCCCCTGTCAAATTCTCAACCTTTCTGGATGCTTTGGAGTTAGAGAGGCTGAGAAACACCTAGTACAGAGGCCTCTCTGCAAATGAGAAAACAGGACACAAGGCCCTAGGCTGGTGAACAGACACTTCAGAGCTCAGTGGTGTCATGGGGAGCCCAGGGCACTTCCCTCAGCTGCACCCTCACCTCATCCCAGCTGCCCTCACCCAGCTCACCCCTGGCACACTCATACCGACCCTGCTCACCCTGGTCTACCCCTATCCCCACCCTAGCTTCCCTGCTCACCCTCAGCCCACCCACACCCCAATCGGCCGCTGATCACCCCAGGTCCACCACTGCTGGCCCCACTCATCCTCGGCCCACCCCCACCCCAGTCGCTCCCTCACCCTCGACCCACTGGTAGGTGAACGCAGGATCAGGGGTCTGCACAGCAATCTCCTTCACAATCACTCTTGTCACATCCTGGACCCACTTTCTGCTGGTTGTGGGGGTTCGTAGCGGGTGGTCTCTCTCCCGACTCAAAGAAGGTTCCGATAGGGTCTCTGATGTCCTGCTGAGTGATGTCTGGGAGCTGCCTGTGGACACGCAGGTGGTGGGGCCCAGGGATGGCTCGAAGTCGTCCGAGTAGGCCCAACTGGTGGTGGCAAGGCCCTCCTGGCCAGCCAAGGCCCCCGTGCTCACAGAGGGTGCCCAGGACAGCGACGGCCGGCTGGATGCATTCAGACACTCAGAAACCTCGCTCTCAGAGGGAAAGGGCCCCGTCTCATCTGAGGCCACCATGCTCCAGACCAGAGTGCGTCTGGGGGAACCCTGCCCAGCAAGCTCTTCTCCCTGGGAGCCAGGGCTCAACAGCTTTTCCTGCTGGACACTTGGTCCCTAAAACAGAAGAGCAGAGGTAAATGGAAGTGGGCTGCACCCGTGGTCCCAGCAGTGGCAGCCAAGGTCTTGCCCTCAAGGTGTGGGAAGCAGGCACACATGGGCAGACTCAGAACACACTACACATGCCTGCAGTGGTGCCAGGCATGGCCACAGAGGCACAAGGCTTGTTAAGAGTCACAGTGTATGTGACCTGGACAATGCCCTTGGATGAGTGTGAGGATATGGCCACATGAGGACGAGAGGTAGGGAGCAATAAAAGTGGGGTGCGCTGTGACCGTATGCTAATTGGTCCACTGGTATTATCTAAGACAGGGCTTGGCACCACTGGCACGGTGGACACTCAGGGCTGGACCATTCTCTGTGGAGGGGCCATGCTGGGCACTGCAGGATGTGCAGCAACACCACTGGCCTCTGTGCACTAACCCACTGGGTGTCAGCAGTGCCCACTAGTGGAGACAACCAGGAATGTCTCCAGACATCACCGTGTGTCCTGTGGCGGGGAAATCACCCAGCTGAGGACCACTGGAGATAACAGATAGAAGACAGATGAAGAAATGGACAGAGAAGCCAAGACACCGACTGGCAGAGATGCAGATGGATGGTGAGACAGATACAGAAACTGAAAAGAGAGAGAGGCAGACAGAAGACAGATGGACAGAAGCAGGGAGATAGTTACCATTAGGGCCCAGCCTCACCACCACTGCTATACTTGAGTCATTATTGTGGCCACAGTTATCAATCCATCGCTCTGAGGATCTTCCTCTTTTTCACTGACCTTTTTTTTCTTTTATCTTCTTTCTTTCCTTGAACATTTTTTTTTTTTAATTTTGTGTGCGTGTACCGTCAAATCAGATCTGACTGGTACAGGAGGATATTGCGCCTCCTTCTCCGGCAGAGCGTCTGGTGGATTCGAACCGTGTTCCTCTGGGATTGCAGTGCAGCTTCTTGCCACTAGGCCACCAGAGCTCCCCTTTCCTTGAACATTTTAATGGAGTGTTTTTGTTGGGTGGTGTTTTGTTTGGGTTTTTTTTTCTTTTCTCCTGAACTTTTACTCCTTAAGAGATAAGTCAACAGTCTCCCTCAAGCTAAGGCAGTTTCTTGGCCTCACCACCACGCACATTTGGCTCCAGATCACTCTCTGTGGTGGGTGGACTGCAGGGTGTCAAGCAGCCTCCTGACATCCACTCACCAGATGCCAGTGGTGTCCCCTCCCAGTTGTGACAACCGAGTGTCCCCAGACATCCCCCCTCCACCTGGTATACTGAGGACAAGGGCAGACAGACCCTGGCTGACACTGCGTGGAGTGGCCGAGGCGAAGCAAGCCACTGGCAGGCATTTCTCTCTGACCACCAAAGAGTGAGAATGAAGCCGACTCACTTCCTTTTCCAGGTCTGACTTCTCGCTGATGGCTGGAGCCAGGTCATCGAGGGACAGAACATTGATTTTGAAATCTGCAAGGAAAAGACCAAGTTTAGGAGGCAGCAATCTTTCTCTTTAAAGGACCAGAGGATAAAGATCTCTAATCAGTCTGTCAGGATCCCTCCTCGATGCAAACAGTGCAGCCATAGACTGTATCTCACAAATGAGCCTGGCTGTGTGCAAATAAATCATTATTGACACAGTCGGCCAGGTAGACAGTCTCAAGCTGTTGTGAGTGAGGTGATAAGTGTGCAGGGTACTGGACTTGGCCTGGGAGGTGCACACAGGAAAATGGGGGGGGTATCTGAGTGAGCACAGAACCAAGAGATGAGGATAAGAAGTCTGCACTAGGCTTTGCAGCCAACTAAGCAGCATGGTGCGGCAGGCTGACCAGTGCAGAGTGAAAGAACAGAATGCCTTTGGGCAGGAAGTTTGCTGGCCTCCAGGCACTTATCAACAGAGCTGAAAGAGCCTCATAACACAAGCCCAAACAGCACAGAGACCAGACCAGACAGAAGGCTGAGCAATGAGGCCTATCCTGAAGGTCCCCTGGAGAGCATGGGACATGGGCTCAGAGCTGCCTGAGCCCTCAACTTAAGGACAAGTCTGGCTCTGAGACCTAAGGCGAGTGCCGAGCTGGTGGCCTGCTGGACAGTGTGACAGGGCCTGAGTCCCTGATTCCATGTGCACAGAGCCCATGAGGGCAAGGCCTGACCCTCCCCAGGGACTCTGCTGTCTGACGCTGATCACCAGCCCAGGAACAGGAGCTGGAGGACAGAGTGTTCTCTGCTCCATGAGCCAGGGTGAGCAGAGGAGACCCAAAGTGTTCTGCAGGCAAGGAAGGACAGAGCTCTTGGAAGAGTGGGTGCAGAAGGGAGTGGGTGGCCTGTCTGCGCCCTCTGGAAAGGTGAGCGGAGTACTGTCTATGCCTCTGCTCTGTCAGAACACTGGGGGCAGGGCCAGACCTCCTCCTCCTCTACCTTCACAAGGAGGAAAGAACCAGCATCAGCCCGAGACATGCCCCACCTGTGAGGCACATAGCTCTACTCTTTTTTACCAATTCTGTCACCAGCTGTCCCACCCCTGACCCCTCAGCTTCTCTGCTAGATTCAATGACTCATTACAATAGTCACACAGAACTCATTGGCCACACCCAGAGTTACAGGCTTTAGGCCAAGAAGCAGCAGGTTACAACTTGGGAACAGGACATCTAAAAAGCATATAGGTCAAGCCTCCCTAATTCAAGTGCAGAACCGCTCTCTCCGCTCATACAGGGCTCTTGTCGGCATCCGCAGGACAATCTTCATCTCTCTGCCCTTGGTTTGGTCTCTGCCCCACTTGAGCAAATGTTACAAAGCCCATTGAACTCTGTTTGCCCTAAGCGCCTGGAAGACAGCTGTGAGGGTTTCTGAAAGCTGCTGTACCTTGGGTGATTGTCTGCGTTGTGTAGTTAGAGTACTGCTGGGAACACTCGGCGAGAAGCTAGTGGAAAACAGCTTACTAGACAAGCACGGGGATATGTCACCAAGAAAAGCAGGGCGCATTCATGAAACCTCAAAATTCCTAGAAGAGCAATTGTGACCTCGTAAAACCCAGAAGAGCATCTGTGAAGACTTAATTAATGAGAAACTAAAGTCCTTGAGAGCTTGTAGAAAATACAGACTACTGTCCTTGAGAATTTGCAGAAAATAGAGATAAGTTTTTTGTGTGTTTGTTGGGATTTTTCTGGGCATATCATTATGGAGCTCCAATTATACTGAAAACAGGTTTTGTTTTGTTTTTTTTTAGTTCTACTATTATTCATTTTTAAAATATTTTTGCAAAAATATTTTTTTACAATATTTTCAACTTACACACTATTCACACTGAACACATTTGGCAGCTTAACCTACTCAAATATGAAGTTTAAGAAGCCAAAACTGTTCTAGCTTTGTTAAAAGAAAAGTTGTGCTGCAAACTATTGTGATGGTTAACAAAGCAAGGAAAAGCACCACTCAAATCACGTTACAATTTCTTTGTTCAACTGGATTACGGGTCTGTAAAATGTTAAGACTTCACATAGGTATAGCTATGTGGATAGCTAAGGAGTGACACTCCTTAGAAGATGCAATTTTCAAATCACATTATCTCTTCAGAAGTAGAGTATTAAGAGAATTCAACATTTCTAACATGATAACATATCACAAAAGCCAGGAATAGTTCTCGTTACTTCATGTAATCTCCGTAACCAAAGATATAGCTTTAAATATACTTTTTAAAATTAACTAGTTTGCCACCTGAGAAAAAGGAGTTTGTTTTCTTTTTTTAAGAAAGTGGGGTCAAGTGGCAAGAAGCTGTACTACAATCCCAGAGGTGCACAGTTTGAATCCACCAGATGCTCTGCCAAAGAAGGAGGGACAATCTCCTCCAGTACCAGTCAGATCTGATTTGACGGTACACACACAAAAATAATAAAATAAATATTGTTGTTGTTGTTATGTGCCGTCGAGTCGTTTGTGACTCATAGCGACCCTATGTACAACAGCCCTAAACCCTGCTCTATCCTGTGCCAATCTCATTGTCTCTGACATACCCATCACGATTACCCCAGTCACTGAATCAATCCACCTCATAAAGGGTCTTCCCCTCCTGCGCTGTCCCTCTACTCTACCCAGCATTATGTCCCTCTCTAAAGACCTGTCTCTCCTTACAACATGTCCAAAGTATGTCAGGCGAAGCCCCAGAATCCTTGCCTCCAAGGAGCAGCCTGGTTTAACCCTCTCTACAATGAATCTGTTTGTTTTCTTGGCAGTCCATGGTACATTCAATACTCTTCTCCAGCACCACAGCTCAAAGACGTCAATTCTCCTTCTATCCTCCCTAGTCATTGTCCAACTCTCTGATGCATAACAAGTGATTGAAAAAACCATGGCCTGTATCAGGCGCACCTTAGTCTCCAGAGAGACATCGTTGCTCTTGAGTACTTCAGAGAGGGCCCTAACAGCAGACTTTCCCATCGCGATACGTTTTTTGATTTCCTGGCTACTGGTGCCAAGAGTGTTGACCGTGGAGCTGAGCAAACTGAAGCTGTGAACAATCTCAATCTCTTCGCCATCCATCCTGATGCTACCGATTGGTCCAGTGGTGAGAATCTTTGTTTTCTTGACATTGAGCCTCAGTCCATACTGAAGGCTGCAGTCCTTAACCCTCTGCAGTAAGTGCATGAGGTCCTCCTCAGTTTCAGCAAGCAGGGTTGTGTCATCTGCATAACGCAGATTGTTGATAGATCGTCCACCAATCCTAACACCACACTTCTCCTCATAGAGCCCAGCCTCTCGGATAATCTGCTCTGCATACAGGTTGAAAAGGTATGGAGATAGGACACATCCCTGGAGTACACCCTTCCCAATTTTGAACCAAAATAAAATAAAAAAAAGAAAGTGGGGTCAAATTCAAACTAATTCTAAATTGAGAAATTTCTTAACATTTGGACTTAATTTAGATTAACTTTTTTTTTTAAGTTTAGACATTAACAAATGCTAGTTAACATTAGTTTATCAGTTTAGCCCAAAAAAAGATTAATTAGGAAAGATTGAGCAGTCTTTAACTTGGGTCTCTGTCACAACTTGACTGGTGCTTCTTTCCTCGCAGTCTTCACACCAAGCCATGGGGACAATTCTATTTTCAGTAAATGTTTGACAGCTTTGTACTTAATAACAGTCTCAGCACTTTTATTAAGCATGCAAGACTAACAAAACTTTGGCAATCCATAAGTGTAACACAGTGACGAGAGAGCTTTTACAATTAAGTCTTCTAATACTGCCTTGACAGTGTGGAACTTGTGCTACAGCCACCAAAAGAGGGCTCCATCTACTCAAATATTTTAGTACTTCACCCCAGGAACAAATTCCTTCGCATCTGGATTCAGATTGCTCTTGACCACAAGGTCTTCCAGAGAAGAGCCATCCCTGATAACAAGATCATTAAATTGGTCCTGGATTTGGTCCATAGTTTGTGGGAGATCTCGAGCTGGAATAAACCACTCGTGTTCTTCCTCTTCTTCCAGTACTTCTTGGAAACAGCGTTCAATAAATTCTTCCCGTAACTCCTCTTCTATTTGTCTGTTGAACTCCTCTTCATTTTCCACCCACATGTACTCTGCAAATGCATTGTCATCTTCATGAGAATGACCATTTATAAGAGCATCTTCCTTGATGATGCTTGGGCTAGTACTGCTGCGACTTGGATCTTTCACGGTTGGTGTTAGTTGTCATTTTTAACCCAGTGCACGGCAGCTTCGCCCGCCACCTCCCTTCTCCAGTCCCCAAAACAGGTTTTTTTAAAGAGATAACTGCTTGCTGTGTAGTGAGAAACTTAATAGAATGTTTGTATTTTCTATATATACTGAGAGAAACAAATGATGGAGCCCTGATTTTTGCCTGGGCTTTGCCTCGGTCCCCTGTGCCTCTCTTTTTCCCCCCTTTGTCTGTCTCTGTTTTTTTTCCCTGAGCAGTGTTGTGTCCTCAAGTCCCACCAGAAAATGGAAACCTTCCTGCCCAAAGGTGTTCTGTTCTTTCACTCTGTGGGTTGGTGGGCCTGCTGAACCAGCTTGCTCAGTGGGCCGGGAAGCCTACCACAACCTGCTTGTCCTGCTCTCTTGGCTCCACTGTTGTCATTTCTTTGCCATCAGATGCTGCTGTGTTTTCTGCCCTGGCCTCTCCCAGGCTCTACTATTTCATCTCTCTCCATCTCCTGGGTCTGGCAAGCTCTTAGCACAGGGTTCAAAAGCCATGCTTTGCTCTATTTCTTCTTCTTTGCTGGTAGTGAAGTGCTTTTTCCTGCCTCTAGAATGGCTTATTTTTGGCTTAGCAAGATGGCAAAATGGACCAATCCTGTTAGAATTCCAAACGCATAGACAAACCTGTCTTAGGAGAAGTGCAACCAGGGTACTCCTGGGAGGCATGGATGGTGTAACTTTGCTTCACCAATTTTGGATGTGTTGTCAGGACATACCAGTCCTTACAAAATGACATGCTGCCTAGAGAAGCAGGGGGCCAGCAAAAGAGAGGAAGACCTTCACCAAGATGTATTGACACAGTGACTGCAACAATGAACTTGAGCCTGGCAGAGATTGTGCGGATGGCGCAGAACTGGCCAAGTTTTCAAAGTGTTGTTCATAGGGTTGCTTTGAGTCATGGTCGACTTGACAGCACCTAGCAACTCACAACCCAAGGCTCCATGCACTTTATCTGCGCCATAAGCTACACTACCCAGTCTCACTGGGGGCCACAAGCATCTTGGCTGCATGTTGTTGTTAGGTGCCGTCGTCGCCTGCCACCCATTGCGACCCTCTGTACAACAGCTCTGAAGCCTGCCCTGTCCTGGGCCAGTTTCACTGATTCTGACACACTAACTCCCATTGCCCCAGTTAGTGTATCAATCCATCTCATCGGGGTCTTTCTCTCCTTTGCTTTCCCTCCACCCTCCAAGCATGATGTCCTTCTCCAAAGACCAGTCCCTCCTGGCCATGTGCTCAAAGTATGTGAGACAGAGCTTCAAAATCCTAGCCTCCAAGGAGAAACCTGGTTTCACCCTCTCCAAGACAGATCTACTTGTTTTCTTGGCAGTTCATGGTATGTTCATGGTATCTTCTCCAGAACCCCAATTCGAAGGCATTGATTCTTCTTCTGTCATCCTTAGTCATAGTAAGTAATTGTGAAGAGCATAGCCTGGATCAGGCACATCTTAGTCTCGAGGTACTTAGCAGCATAGCTCCACACAATCATCCTGTAGGAGTCACCACACCATGGTGAGAACAACCAACCGTAAAAATAGTGACTCATCACACTGCTGACCCCACACCAAAGCTCCCTGAGACACAGGTCAGATGTCACCCCATCACAGACCTCCTCCGTATGTAACTCTAATTGCTGTTCATGGGGCAGAGGAGGGAAAGGTAAGGTGTTGATTAGACAGAGCCTCTGGGTGACTCACCCAGCCAGGGCCAAAGTAGGGGGAAGGTTCTAGATTCCCAGCTCTGGACAGGGTGACAGGAGAACATCACACCCTCCCCCTTGTCCCCCATGGCACGTCCTCCCCATCCCCGCGGTACAGGGAGGAGGGGGCACAGAGAGCTCGAGGCTCCTTGGTCATTGTTGTGGGTGTTATTAGTCATCACTGAATTGACTCTTCCTCAAGGCTGCCCCAATTGTGCAAAGCAGAACTGATCCAGAGAGTATTCTAGGCTGCACTCTTAGAGGCAAAGGAGCCCGACAGCAAAAGGAGTACTCGGCGGCTAGCAGAAAAGCTGTTAGATCAAAGCCACCACAATCTGCTTTCATAAAGACTGCAACTTTGGAAATCTGTCCCAAAGGGCCACCAGGAGTCAGAATTGACTTGATGGCAAACGCCAATCTTTTTTTTTAAATTTTATTATTTTAGTGTGAGTGTACCGTCAAATCAGATCTGACTGGTACAGGAGGAGATTGTCCCTCCTTCCCTGGCAGAGCATCTGGTGGATTCAAACCGTGCGCCTCTGGGATTGCAGTGCAGCTTCTTGCCACTAGGCCACTAGAGCTCCCCTTAAACTCCAATCTTTATAGGAGCAGTTTGCCAGGCCTTTCTCCCACAGAGGTGCTGTCTTTCCATTAGTATCTTTACACCTGACCCCTAAGAGCTCTGGGGCTTAGGAGACACAAGGAGCTGAAATAAAAGAAACAGTTCAATCCTTACGAGTTAGAGAGTTGCATACCCTTTTCTGAATTTAAAGCAAAAGGAAAATTTCTGTGTAAGGAAAGAAAAATTGAGAAGGGCTTTTTTTCTCCAGGTTCCAATAACACCCACAACCAAGTTCACTGCCAGTGAGGTGACTTTTACTCACGGTGACCTCTCGTGGACAGCACAATCCGCGGTGACTTCTTGTGGACAGCAAGTCTATAGGGTCACCAGGCCTGTGTACTGAGGAGCTTCTGGAAGGATCTGAACCAAAGTCTGGACTAACCGGGTGTACAACTCCTCTTTTGGAGTCAGAGTTAGTGGATGAAGAGTTTTAAAGGCAGAAGAAAATTCTGACCTGAGAAGATCTGGGGTGTGACCCAGCACCCTGTGACCCGCCACGCCCCCTGGCCCCTGACTGTGTGCTAAGAATTCAGCTCACCGTCCAGGCTGTCATCATTGGCCTCAGACAGCGATGCTTCAGAGGGCTCAGCCTCACTGCTTCCAGGGGAGGATAAGACCATCTTCAGATGCCCGGACCCGGACCAGCTGCCAGGGAAGGAGAGCGCTGACGTGCGAGACACTGGGCCAGTGGAACCAGGGGTCTGTGGGGAGGATGTCCTGGAGCGAATGCGAGGGGGGGTCCTGCTGGTTGGCCTTGTGGCGGGTGGATGCGGCTTCAGGGATGGCTCGGGGCTGGGAAGGTCCTCACTGGGCAAAGGCAGAGCTCGAGGCCGAGCTGGGAGCTGACCCGACTTTGACTGGAATAAAAAATAAAAATTAATATTGCCACAGACAGTGCTCAGGCTACTGTGGGGGACCAACAAGGACTCAGGGGCTGGGGCTAGTGGGGGTGACAAGGACTCAGGGGCTG